AGGTTTAGGTTGGTTGCTGACCCGGAAGCCCCGAGGCTGCCCAGTTTTGGTTATAAGAACCCGGACTTTGGGGTGTTGATTGCTTCGACCTTGGTTCAGTCTGCGCCCAATCATTCTTTCCCTGCTGTGATTCGTTCTGCTCCTGCCCCCTGCTTCCAGCTCCAAAGCGTCTTGAGGGTTTCAGAGTCGGGCCAGGGTTAAGTTGGGTTTGAGACTCGGGCAGTCTCGGGGGATGCCCCTTCCCGGGTGGCGACAGAGGCGTTTGAGCCAGTTCCTCCTGTCGAAGCGTCTGGGTCTGACCAGTAGGCCCCCAAGCCTTCCTGCATTTATTTGCTGCTCCGACCTTTTCGGGGTTTTGGAGGATGGCTCGGCCCCGGGACCTGTCGTTGGGGTTTCTGGTGCGGGGGAGAGGCTGATTTGGGGGGCTTGGGCCCCATTGGACCCTACTTGGGTTTTTGTGCCCTTAGAGCAGGGTTTACTGTTACATGGAGTGAGGGTATTCTTCCCCCCCCCCCCCTCCTCTGTGTACGAGTAAGATTTGGTGTCAGTCCCTCCCCAAGTTCGGTTCTGTCCCCCTTCAGGTCCGTTGGTCCTGTCCTTCCAGAGGTTTTCAGCTTCCTGCTTCCCTCCTCATACGGTGCGGGACGCTATTGCTGTTTATCTCCTGCATGATCCGGAATTTGCCTCCATAATGGATCCTACTTCATTCAGGATTGGAACTTCTTTTCCTCACCGGGTTCGTTATGAGGTTCCGGAGTCATCCTGCCCTGTTTTCTTGTTGGAGGCTTGGCATACGTTTTGTCGGTCCTGTGCGCTGGAGTGGCGGGAGGCTGGGACCGTGGTCCAGGTTTTCCTGGGGGGTGAGTTTGAGTACCTCAATGCGTGCTTGTTACCTCCTTCCCTTCCTCGGGATGTTGGTGTGGTACAGCTTCATGTGCAGGTTCCCTCCCTGTCGGCTGTGTTGGTTGCTGAGGACTTGCGTGTGCGTGGCCAGTTGGCTTCAGTCATGTGGTTCTTTTCCCTCCTTTAGCTGTCCTTGGATTGGCTTACAAAGGATGAGGAGCTGGAGGCCGTTCCGAGATCCGGTCCCTTGGTCTCAGCGGCGTGTGCGTTGTCTCCCCTGCTGAAGCTGTTCGTGCCGACCCTGCGGGATGCAGTGTTTCTGTTTTATGCTTCTCGTCTTGTGTGTCGGCAGACAGTGCTCGCTATCTCCATGGAATCTGCCTGGGCCCTGGCTCTTAGATTTTCATCGCCTTTTTGTACTTTGTTGTTTGCGGAGTCTGCAGTTGGGCAGTATCTGTAGGCAGCTTCTGCTAGTTGTTGTCCGATGTCGGATTTGTTGGTTCTCCAGGAGGCTTGTGAGGGTTCCTCCCGGAGGGGCCGTTCCAGAGTTTGGGGGGTTCTTCAGGCAGGTGGTGCCAGGTTCGGAGCCGACTCTGCCTTTGGTCCTGCCTTCGTCTGGTCGGCGTGGTGTTCGCTCTGCTCGTTGGTCGGGTTCTCGGCAGGGGTGTCGGCCCTTTCATGGTTTGACCCGTTGACAGGGTGATAGGGGGGAGGCCCTCATTGTTTGCTCACACCTGGTCTCACGATTTGTGGGCTTTTCAGATGTTTTCCTATGCCCTGCGTTGGGTGGCCCCTCCCCCTTCTGGGGGTTCGGGGCTGGCGGGACAAGCCTCTTCTCTTGCACTCTGCCGGATCATCTTGGAGTGGGTACGCTTGGGCGTGGTCGAAACGATGACGTCCCTCAGGTGGGTTTCCCGTCTGTTCCCAGTCCAGAAATGGGACTGTGTGGACCTGAGGTTCTTTCTGGACTTGTCCCATCAGAACTCCTGGGTCTATTGCCCCTACTTTTGGATGACTACTGTCCCAGGTCTGGCTTCTTTTGGAGCCGGGCGCTTGGATGGTGTCCCTGAACCTCCGGGACGCTTATTGGTATGTCCCGATTCATACAGGGTTCAGGGACTGGCTCAGTTTTCTTGTGGGGTGTCATGCTTACTGCTTTCATTGCCTTCCATTAAGCTTGAACCTGGCACCTCGTGTGTCTACACGCCTTACCAGGGTCATGGTGGCTCATCTGTGTCTTTTTAGAGGTTCGGGTCCTGGCCTACCTCGACGACTGGTTGGTGTGGGCTCCCAACCAGTCCGCATGTCTGCTCGCTGGGGGTTTTGGTTCTTTCTCACTGGGTTCGGGTTCCTGGTGGACTGGCAGAAGTCACATCTGGTTTTCTCTCAGGTTCGGTCTTGGCTGGGTCTTGTGTGGGACTCTCAGACCGCTTCCTCATTTCTCCCTCCGGTTTCTCTGCTTCGGCTGTAGTCCCGCCTTCATTTGTTTGGGGGGGGGGGATCCCAGGTCACTGCTCGAGGGTTTGTGCAGAAGCCTGAACTTTGCCGTGATGGTCTACTCGCCAGGTCGGGTTTGTTTTCGTCAATTGTTCTGGATCCTTCAGGGACGTCCCTTCCATCTCTTTCGCGATCGCTGGGTTCGGCCTCTGGGGGCCTCGTGTCAGCTGCTGCATCGCCTGCTTCCTCTTTGGGTTTTTCGGGGTTTAGTGCCTTGGCGCCTACCCGAGCCCTCGCTCAATGTGTTCACAGATACGTCGTCTCTTGGCTGGGGCTTTGTGACTAGTGCTCACCTGGCCAGTCAGGGGCAGTGCGGTCCGTCCTTCCATTGGGCCGTAGCACGGTACGGGAGTTTGCAGCGGTGTGGATGTCGCTTTAGAAAGTAAGGGATGCTTGTGGATCAACGATCAGGCTCCATTTGGACTGCTCCCTAGTGGTTCATTGCCTGAACCGTGGGGGCTCGATGCAGTCCTTGGCACTTTGGGGCTGGTCGCTTTGGGTGTCTCATCTGCTGAGTTCTAGGGGGTTTGCATCTCTTAGCTGTTCACATTCGGGGGGTGTACAATGTCCTGGCGGACAGCGTGTCTCAGTTCATTTCCCCGTCTACGAAATGGACGGTCTACGCTGACTTGTTCCATTGGCGGTGCTGGACGTACGGGCCCCCAGAAGTGGACCTCTTAGCGTCGGCGGTTGAGGCATCTTCTGTATTATGTGGAGTCCTTCCCCCAACTGTGAGGCCGTCGGGGTCAATGCCTTTCGACAGGACTGTTCGAGGTGGAGTTACCTTCATCTCTTTCCTCCGGTTACGCTGTTGCTCCAGGTCCTGGCTCACTTGGAGACTTACCAGGGAAGAGTTGTCATCTTGGCCCCTTGGTGGCCGACCCAGCCTTGGTTTCAGGTGCTGCTAGTTCGGTGTCCAAACCCAGGGGTCTTCCCACGGCCTCTTTCAGGAGATCGGCCCAGTTTGCTACGTGGCTGGTTCAATCTTCTTGAGTCTTCACGTCTGGTCTTTTTGACTCGAGTCGATCACCATTTATATGGTGATCAGGTAGCTTTTTTGATGGTGTTCCACCTGCGTGCCTCATCTCTGCATAAGTATGTAGTTTCCTTGCGATCCTTTCTTTTTTTTCTTGTCCTTTCGTAGATATACTTCAGTTTCTGATGCGGTGGTGTTGCCCTTTCTCTCATGGTTGTTTCAGGACCATCATCTTATGCCTGATACTGATGCCTCTTATCGTGAGGCGCTGGCAGAGCTGCTGCAGCTTGCATTCAGGGTTAATTTTACTTTGGCGCTGTTCCTCAAGCTGTCTCATATGTTGTTTCATCTCTGGCCTGCTTGTGCACCGCCTGAGCCATCCTGGTCTTTAGATCAAGTGCTCTCCTTTCTTTTTTCTCCTCGGTTTGTAGTGGCCCCTTCGGTTCAGGATTGTTTCTCTAAGGCTCTTTTTCCTGTTGGCATTGATCTGTGGGGGTCGGTTCAGGGAGCTTCATGCTCTCCTCCGGCACAAGGGTTTCTGCTCGTTTGGTCCTGTTGGTAGGTTTGTTCGGTTGCGGTTGTCTTCCTTTTCTGGCGAAGAATGAATGAGACTGGTGCTTTCTGGTCCTTAGATTGTAGATGCTTGGTTGGTTAAGCCCGGGTTGCATCATGTGTTGTCTGGTTGCGGTTCTTTGCCGTTATTTGCGAGCCACAGCTTCTTTGTCCGGGGACACACGTTTATCCAGTTTCCCTTCTTCCCTGCTCCAGGGTTTGGGTCTCTCGGGTCGTCCGCAGTGCTATTCGGTCTAGCCAGCTTGCAGTCTATTCCGTGTCCACGACGTTCGTAAGTTTGCTGCTCTTGCTGCTGTCTTCAGTAACATGGCTTGGGCCGACATTCAGGCACGGGGTTTTTTTGGCGGTCGAACAGAGTCCTGGCTGCGCACTACCTGGTCAGTGTTCCTGGGCCTAGTCGGGCCTGTGTCGGCGGTTGCAGCCAGTTGTCTCTACTTCGGGTTGAGGAGCGAGTGCCGACCGCCTCCCGGGTAAGCCCCTTTTGTTTTTGTCTTTGGGCAAGTAGCTCCAGGGAGTCAAAAGGGCTTTCCCCAGAAAGCCAGCATTGAATGTAATGAAATGCCATTTTCTGGGTGAGATCCAAAGGCTCCCCGGCAACCCTCCCTCCCTCCAGTCACCAGTTTTTCGTGAGTTTTGACTTCCAGCCTCAGAACTGGGGTGTGGGTAGCCGGAATGAAGGACTGGGGCTCCCCCTTTCCCCAAACGGGGAGGGGGGAGCTGCACAAACAAGCTGCGCTCTGACATGGTCATGTCATGCTCATTTGCTCGTTTTTGTTTGGGTAGTTCGGTCAACTCGTTCGACTTTCAGTAACAATTTCTTGAAACGAATAGGGGTTTGTTTGGGGGCGCTTACCTTTCTGGATGCCTGACCCGGTTGATGGCAGACATAGAATGCTTCCAATCACACGGGGTTTCTATAGGCCATTGTTCCCCGTGTCTCTCTGAGGGGGCCAGGTTCTGGCTCGTGGTCCCCGGTAGGCCCTAGAACTCCATTCACATTGACTGATGCCAAAGTCCAATATATTCATATGAGCCTTGATAGCTCCGAGAAACCTTCGAGTCTCGCCCAGAAAATGGCGTTTTATTTCATTCAACGCTGTTTTTTTTTCAGGTATTCTGTGCACACTGCAGTCAACATGCAGTGCCACTACCGCATTATGGAATATGGAAGGCTGTGCGTGTGTGTAACGTTTGCTTCCTCTACTATGTCACATTCACTACAGAAACTACAACGCCATCCTCTTGACCCCACCATGTAAGCAGCGAGGATTCTCATCATCATTACCACACTGTGCACAGCCTCGGAGATGACGGCCAACACGATAATCAACACCTGAGTTACCACAGCCTCGACCAACATTACCATTAATATGCACATTTCAATATGCACATGGTAATGTCCAGTGTGGATGCCGTTGTAGCTGCTTCTAACCATAGCAGTTACAGTTGGTGTGTGTGGAGACTCCAACCAGTTAGCTCAGTAAGTAGAACTGGCAACTTCCCGACTAACATGCTGCACTCGTAATCCTAGCGCAGTTGCTAAATAATTAAGCCTCATCCAAATGCCTTATAAGTTGACTGTTAATATTACCAAAGGTGTCTTGCAGTTCATTATGTCAAATTTTAATATAGCTGTCCACAGTATGCAAGATTTTGACGTAGCTTAAGTAGGAAGGTAATAGTATGTTCGTTGATATATTGTGACTTAGATACCATGTATCTAGTACTGTAATTTACATTTTCAACTGTTGTTTATAAAAATGTTATAAAGTCCCGCTGGTTGGGTCACTGCCACACAGATATGTTAGTCACTAGGAGATGTGTGACAAAATAGCACCAAGACAGTACTTTGATTTTGTTTTTGTGAGATTCTACACGTTTCATAAAGTTGCATAATAGCAAATGTACTAAAAATCTACTTAGTAAGTGTATTTTATTAAAACAAGTTTTACATGTTTATTTTATGATGTGAGACTCCTGCCTATTCATGTTTGTCTTGTATTTCTATTACAAATATAAATATAAGCAGAATTGGTTTTAGGTTTTAAAAAGGCAACATTGCCGTTATGAAAGAAGCTTATTGTTAGTTGTTGAATGTTGGCAGGTTGTCCTAGTCAAGTACCAATTCCAATATTTAGTCAGATTTCTGTTATAAAAGTAGTTCTTGAAGAAAAGGTGTATTTTTCTTAACGAGACTAGTACTCACCTAGTTGTGTTTGCGGGGGTTGAGCTCTGGCTCTTTGGTCCCGCCTCTCAACCGTCAATCAACAGGTGTACAGATTCCTGAGCCTATCGGGCTCTGTCATATCTACACTTGATGGCAGTGTGTGCAGCACTGCTCCTGGACCAGGGGTCAAGAGTCATTAATTAGGTACGACACCCGCGCCGCTTGCCTTGATCATGGCGCCTTAGTCCGTATTTCCTAATCGCTGAACAAGTCTGGAACTGCTGCAGTGTTGTTCTTGACCCAAGGTTATTATTGTTATAAATGGTCTCTAAGCTTGCCAAGTGTTCAATACAAACCAAGCTGACGGAATTCATGAAGAAAGTGTCTTGTCTGATAAGTGGTCACTTAAGTGCTTGATGAACCTTGGACCAAATTGATTGGAGAGGGATTTTAAATGCACAATAATATTGGCTTGAGCTACCTTGTCATGTGCATAATAATAATAAAAAGCGTTCTGGCCAGATTGTCATTGTTCAGATATTTGACTTTGTGTAATAGTTGACATTTGATGAAACCTCAATTTAAAAGTTAACTTCAGTATTTACACTGTAAAGTATTGCACTTTTTCCATTTAATTAATAACAGATTTACTAAAATTATATTATTCATTATTTTTTAGATAATGCATTTAATAAACTTTGTTGTTTAAGTAGATGTTCTTGAAAATTCCAATTATCACCTATAGACAAGTTTCAGATAGAAAGTTGGGTCAAATGTACAGTACAAAGAAATGAAAATATCTTTAAGGCATAGCTGTTTGAGATTGGAGGACCGCATTTGTACCAAAATTGATTCCAAATGTGTGCGCTCCTCACAAAGGGACCAGGTGGACACACCCATATAATGATTCTTCTGGGCGGCACAGTAATACTTCTTACTTAAATCCTTCACTTTCATATTAATTCCATGTTCTAGTAAAAGCTTAGGAAATAAATCATTGTACATGCAATTATGCATTCATTCATTCACTGAAAAATAACTCCTGTCCAGAAACAAAAGCACTTACTATCCACTTTCTTTTTTCAACCTAATTGTGTCATAGGATTAATTAACATTGAACAAGATCTGAATCCAATTAAAAGTGGCTTAACAACAGCCACATTTGTTATAGTATTTACAGTATAACTATATTTTTATTCACCGTCATGCTTCCAAGTTAACGTACGTAACTACATACACCACCCACAAAATATACGACATTTGTGCCAATAACTCTACATCTTAATTGTGCCCAACAGTCTGGGTATTTTCTCCAGGCAAATTTGGGCAAGTGGGATTGATGTAACATTTAAGCAACATTGATGACATGAATTAAATGTTACTCGAGCATGTTTTGCCTGCAGAGTTTGAGCAGATGACAGAGGCCATGAACAAGTCATCCCAACACTTGTTTTCCCCTGCTTTTTGCAGCATAGTTTTCACAGATTTGAAAGCCTTTATATTGTGAAATTCTAATAAAGGAAATTTTACATGCATAGATTTATAATTTTTCATTTGGAATTTTTTTTACTTTGAAACTCTTCAATGCAGCCAAAATATTGGGAGAAAATTTTTATGTACAGGAAATTGCAATAATTATGTTACAGTACTGTATGTGCATTAAGAAGGTGCAGGTAACCAGTTAATATATTTCAATATATAATACTAGCTGTTTGATATTGGTAAACAATGTGCAGAGAATAAGTCTCAAGTAACCAAACCCACACATTTGATGGGAAATGACAGTGACGAAAGTTACTTCGTTCGTCACAACTTGACGATGATCTGGGACGGACCAAAACCGTGTTGCTTTCAATTTATTTTGTCTCATATATGTAGGTTTGATTATTCATAACCAGTATTTAATGTTACAAAAAATGCAATACATAATTGTTTTGATATTCTCTTTGAATTTCATCAAGGAAGTTTAATTTTTTATACCTGTAGGTGTAAAATTTATTAGGGCTGGATTTCCGGAGACTATACACTGCCTTGTGTAGTTCCCGAAATCTACAATTTGGTAGTTGTAAAACGGATGAAACGTACTAATTTGATGTTCATTACAATATATATTGAGAGTTTAAAATTGTGTGTTGCATTTGCTATATTTTCTTTCAAATTTTGTTCGTTTGGTTTGAGTTAATCACAGTTTAATTATGTTGCATCATCTTCCATGTGTATACAACTTATTCATGTGCCAGCTATGTACCTGACTGGCAGACTTGTTTTCTGAAGGAAAGACTCTTACATGCTTACCCCTGGGCTGAATTGCCTGACCATTATTTCAAGAATAGTGTAGGAAGTTAACCCAACCCTCGCACATGTGAACATAAAGGAAAGTCGGAATGTTTTGATCTGTTCCGGACCCGTATCAAGTGGTGTCAATTTAATAAGGGTCCAGGACAGACCAAAGCATTGTCATTTTCCCTGTCTTTTCATGTGTGGGGGTTGGGGCATTAATTTTCTGCCATATTGTGATTTATTCTCTGAATATAGTTAAACTCTCTGCCACTCTTGATCCTCATCTGGCAAAAACCTGTTTCTGGAAGGATTGATTCTTATCAAATGATAAGAAATGTCTTCACAGTATATGGAGAATAAATTGAAATTAGTACTGCACATATAAAATAATAATTAGCATTTATTGAAACGAGGTCTTTGACTACAGTGGTTAGGAAGTTATTATTGGTCTTATGATAGAATAACCTCTGACAAAAAGGTAAATTATTCTGATTTGAACAGTAAAGTGCATGAAAAATTAAATGGAAAGCTGTTTACCATTGCTCATAAGATATGAGTCATCCAAGTACGTAGAGTATCTGATATTTGAAGGTGTCCTCTCCGAGCTTCATGTACAGGTGGGAGATCTTACCAAGTGGAAACTTAAGTCGTTAAATAAGAGTTTTGTAAGAATAATGGTGGTAATACATCATAGCTAACACAAAATGATGAGGATTCATACTTTTTAAGCTATTTGCAAAGAGAAATTTGGGCTTATTATCAGTTATGATCAATAATGGCAGAGTATTCAAAATATTTTTTCAGATTAAGAACACTTGTATTGCTGGACTATACTTTTTTTTTTAATTAAGTAATGCTGCTAATTTTAAGTTTGCTTCTAGCATATTCATTTTGTAATTCCAATCAAATGCTCAAAAAAGTTAATACCATAAGGCATCTCTAAATTGCTATATTGCAAACATTAAAACTAGTGACACCCCCCCTTTCCAGGTGCCACTTTTGTGTGGCAAAGGGGCACTTGCTTTCCCCTCTGGCTTGTTATAATGACAAGTGACTTAGGGTGCCCACAGTTTTATGATTCCCATTTGGGTCATCAAACTGCTGAAAATGATAGGGTTGGAGCCTGAAGTCGTCAGACACCACCTACAAAGACAATGAGGTGTAGAGAGGGTGGGGGAGGGGGGAGCCTTGCACATAAAACAATGCACAAAGGGTACTTTTAGTAGCACTCCCTAGGGGCCTCGTAGCCTGGTGGATAGCGCGCAGGATTCGTAATTCTGTGGCGCGGGTTCGATTCCCGCACGAGGCAGAAACAAATGGGCAAAGCTTCTTTCGCCCTGAATGCCCCTGTTACCTAGCAGTAAATAGGTACCTGGGAGTTAGTCAGCTGTCACGGGCTGCTTCCTGGGGGTGGAGGCCTGGTCTAGGACCGGGCCGCGGGGACACTAAAGCCCCGAAATCATCTCAAGATAACCTCAAGATAACCCTTATCAACAAGAGAAGATACTAATTCGAACAACAGATAAATGAATTTGCCTATGTCCCCATTCCTCCTTATTCCTCAGCCCCTTCTCGGTTTGGTGCCTTCTTTTGACAATTACTTACTTACACCTCAGCCTGGACATACATATCTATTCACACAGACACTGGAATTCTTTATTTTGTTTAAAAATAAATGTAGGCATACAAGGTCTATCGTTTAGCTAACCAAAAGAATTGAAGATCTTGCATCTTCACTATCAATGTTAACATCCCTGTTCCTCATCTCTGAAAGAAGATTCCTGATGAAGTGCACGATCTTCATCTTCGTGGTTCCATTATTGCAGAGCCGATGTCAATCCAAGTAACCTTCATTAACGCACACTCCTGTCTTTGTGACTGTAAATCCTGTGCTAAATTGCAGACTTGACCTTTTATTTTGGTACACTTCTAATAATTGTTTTGTTTTTTTCTCAACTTCAGAGTGTTGTCATTTTGCCACTCCATGCATCAGGCTTATAAATTATTCACTATTAGGTGCTCCACCACTCCATCCACGTATTTTAGAGTTTTATTAAATACATGTTCTGAAATTATATCTGCTACACTGGGTCTCTCTCTGAAGTCTGGTTTGAGGCAGTTCTTTTCCTTAACAAATTCAGCACAAAAGGCACATGATTTGGAGATTTTAACCCCCATTGTCCTGACCAGTCTCTTCTCCATGTTTGATTATTGTGCGTTTTATGTGGTTTTTAGACATGATCGTTTCCTCTCCCCATCCCTATTAGTTCTTGTAAGTGTCAGTGTGTGTGACTTCCAGGTAGATTTAGAGGTGTACATTTAAAATGCCTTTCTTTTGAGTAATTTAGTTGTAGCCATCATTTTGACCTAAAGCATATGAAGCTTCCTGGTAATATTAGTCCAGTTGACTAATAGTCCTAGTTTTATGTAGTCCTAGGCGACCAGGCATAGCTTAAAGTTTTCTATGATGAAAACTTGCTCTGTGACTCTTATTGGGCAGCATATTATTCCCCATTCAATGTTGTTGTTTTATGAGAATCAACTTGTGTATAAAGATAAAATCAACTTCTAGGGGTTGATCTTAAACACCTTCCTGTCATGGTTGTCTCATGTTAGTTACTCCTGAACTGAGTACTCCGGTGTCTTGTCACATACCTCCTGGGCTGGATAGGAGAATGCACCTTTATTTGCACTCCTCCCTAGTGTTGCCTAAATTGAAGTATGTACTGTATATTTGTCCCACATATTAATTAGCTTCACCTATGACCTTTTGTTGCCGTGGCGCTCTACTTCATACAGTCTTGTACCTCGACTCTAGCACCTTTGGTTCTTTTTCCATGGTGTTTGTATGTAGAAACTGAAGTGCTGTCATTACAAGACTGCTACAGTCAATATTGCTTTGGATACTTTGCATAATCCCTCCAACATCCCAGTTCTCGCTTGTACTGTACTGTGACAACTGCACCTTTTCAGATGCCTGTTCCCTCTCCTTTCCACTTCTTTACTCAAAGGGTACCCTTGTTTCACAATTCTCTCTTGGTACATCTACACTGTGCTGCCTCGTATTGTTTCTACCTTACCCCTATGGAGGGGTCCCACCTCTCAAAATTTGTAAAAACCTGAGCTATATGGTGGAAGCTTGGAAGCTGTTGGGTCCCCCCCAACAGTCATGAAATGCCTTTTCCTTGAACATTTTCACTGCCAATTGGGTGCTACCGCGCTCTTTACGGATAGGTCAAAATCTGTTGACGGTGTTATCTTCATTATTTTTCTTGATTAACCTTCATTAAAGTGCAGTTATCATATGTTAATTCAAGACATATTTCAGTTATCTTCATATATTGATATAAATGATATTGCCTGAGTTTTACACCACTGATGCTAATATGATTATAGTAGCTCTGTATGAATGTAGTGGAGTTTACCTTGACCCCTGAAAACATCCTGCTATTGTTTCATGATTACCTTATTATGCAAATGTGGTTATCATTGCAAGTGTTACTATGCCAATTCAGTAATCACCAGGGTATAAAACTGCATTATAATTCAACCCGTTCTCGCAAATTTAATAAGTCAATATTGACTTATTAAATATGTGCATAGGTGACATACTTAACATAATAGTTTCCCTTGAAAAGCTTCATAGAAAACACCGACCTTACCTAACCTACTTAGTATGTTAAGATAAGCATCTTATTGCTTCGTAATTACAATTATTACCTAACCTATACCTATAATAGGTTAAGTAACAATTGTAATTACGAAGCTATAAGATGCTTATTTTAATATACTAAGTAGGTTAGGTAAGGTCGGTGTTTTCTATGAAGCTTTTCAAGGGAAACTATTATGTTTAGTATGTCACCTATGCACGCAACTAATAAGTCAATATTGACTTATTAAATTTGCGAGAACGGGTTGTATAATTACATACGTAAACTGATTATGTTCATATAGTTTTAACAACTAGTTGGTGGTAATGAAGTATACCAAGTCGACCATAATCGTAACATGATCAGTATGGGTATGATTTAATTACGATGGAATTTTATACCATGTTATACATAGATACTATACATTCACACACACTTTGGTGTAAAAATGTTCATCTAGACATCCTGGTCATAGTGTTTGTGGCTTAGGACAGTGTACTCTTCTAGTTGGACTCGCCTAGTTATGCGTGTGGGGGTTGAACTTCGGCTCTTTGGTCCTGCCTCTCGATTGTCAATCAACTGGTGCGCAGGTTCCTGAGAAAAAG